TTTTTTTTCCAACTCTCCATTTTCATTGTTATCAAGAGGTGATATTGATACTCACACGTGTGTTTATGTCCACAAATAATGTCATGAATTTTATTTAAAAAGTCTTAATGGGACAAACTCCTCAAACGCATAAAGTTCATCTTTGCATGTCAGTTTTTATAGACATTCTCATTCGAAAATTCGTTATGCACAATTCGAGCTTTTTTCACACGACATCTATAAAAAAATACAAAAGTATTTTAGTAACAAACAATGTAAAAAAACATGTCTTATATATGATACAATGTCGTATATAATAAAACGAATAAAATTAAAACCAGAAACGATTTTTGGGATCAATTTTTTTGTACCAAAAATCATTATAGGATCTAAAAATGATTCCAAAATCGTTTTTGGGATTTCTGGGACAGAAACGATTTCTGGACCAGAGATCGATTTTCGGTCCCAGAATTTTTTTTTTTAGGATTTTTGGGATTTCTGGGACCAAAAACGATTTCTGGACCCATAAATCAATTTCTTGAACCATAAATCATTTTTTGGATTTTTAGGATTTCTGGACCAGAAATCGATTTCTGGACCCATAAATCGATTTCTTTATCCAGAAACCATTTCTTGGATTTTTTGGATTTCTGGACCAGAAATCAATTTCCGGGACCAAAAATCGATTTCTCGACTCAGAAATTGATTTCTTGATCCAGAAATCATTTCTGGTCCCAGAAATCATTTATTGGATTTCTAGGATTTCTAGGATTTCTGGACCAGAAAAAAATTTCTGGGACCAGAAATCGATTTCTTGATCCATAAATCATTTCTGGTCCCAGAAATCATTTCTTGGATTTCTAGGATTTCTGGACCAGAAATCAATTTCTGGGACCAAAAATCGATTTCTGGGCCCAGAATTCGATTTCTGGATCCCAGAAATCGACGATTTTTTATTTATTTTTTTTATATAAAAATAGGTAGTAAGGGTATTTTAGTCTTTTTAAGTGCCAAAATGGCTAAAAAAGATTTTTTTGCAAAATATGACTAAAATTTGTGTTGACCATTTAAACATGGCTAAAAAAAAATCACTGTGTTAAATAACTAATTAATCCGGAAATATATATTGAGCTATTTTTTCATTTCTTTTTTCCAATTTATTTTAGAGTACGTACCAAAATATATTTGGTCTTATTTAGCAATTAACTAATTGTGAATAGCTAATATATGAGTATTAGCGTATTTGACTAATTGATTCCATAAACGATCTTTCAAATAAGTGGTAAATACTGAAAAACTATATTTCTTACATTGTATTGCTTTTTTAATCATCTCTTTTAACTTTTTGAAATTCATATATTTTTATTGTTTGCACATGCTATGAATTTAACTTTTATCAGTCTTCTAACAATGTTTGTGTCATGTAAAAATATATCTTAATAATATTTTCTAGTACTGAAGTATGATGCAAAAAAAAAAAAAAAAAAAAAAAAAAAAAAAAAAAAAAAAAAATCAAAATAAAGTTTCACTATAATCTCATAAATATGTCATGACCGAGTTGATTACGTATGTCATTCCATCCGAGATGGCTAACTCTTGTTTGAGTTTGTGCTCGTTTAATAAACGCGAGTAGAAGGTTTAACTTGAGTTCGACTCGTTGAATCTTACAAAACCTCGAATCGACTTGGCTCGTTTAATAAACCTAAAACCCTAACGAGTTGTTCGTGAAAACAAAATATTTTTGCAAACAAGTTCGACATGATTGTGTATTTTATAAAAAAAATACATAATTAAAAAATGAGTAGCTCGTGAAAAATGTCACTTTGGTTCGTTTAATAAACAAACTCGATTAGTTGTTCAAGTTCGATTCATATAAGAAAAAATATAAGCCGGGCTTGAATTTTCACGAGAAGAACCGAGTTGTGTTCGCGAATAAGTCAGTTCTAATAACAATTTATTTTACAGCCGATTCACAATATTTTAAAAGATTATTTATTCGTCTTTTACTTACACAACTGTAATGCTGAAAAACTTCTTTTTTTTTTTCTTTCTTGTTATTAAATAGCTTGTAACTCAACATTAACTATGATTAACATAAAAAAAACACCAATAAACCAATCGAAACCGAAACGGTTAGAGTGCGTTTATTTATAGATATACCAAAAAAAAAAACATCAATCTCAACACAAATGCTAACTCAACTATAACGTAACATCATTATCTTCAATATTATCCATATAATTAAATAATACTAATCAATCATTCTTATATATCATCAACTTTAATTCACTATTAATCCATTTACATATTTTTAAATCTCTTAACTCTGAATAGGGCAAGAAAGGATAGAGTCCTTACTCCATTACTCATAGGATTCGTAATGGTCGGACGTCTTCCCTCTTTAGGTGAAGTCTTGGCTTGCAGCCTCTAGTATGGAAAGGTTAAACCCTTATATCAGAACTCACTTCAGTAAAAAAAAAAAAAAAATTGATTTTATTGATATTGGTTATGATGCAACGTTCACGAACATTTCATTAAAACGTTATAATTATATTAAAAATATCCAAAAGTCTCCATAAGTTTACATGGTGAAAGTTTTAAAAAGTCTTTGATAAGAATTATATGAATATCTCATAAAGTTCGCCAAAGCCATTAAATTTACAAAGTACACTAAAGTCATTCATTTTTTTTAAAAAAAAAAACTTGAAAAATATATAAAAGTTTCAACTGAATATACACCCTTAATGTCCGTGGGGTATTGGGACTAGTTAATCCTGCGGTTGTCAAACGTTGTTTATTTATATAAGTTATTTTTTACCATTTTGAAGAAAAAAAAAACATCCCCTTAATCACCAAGGAATCAAATTCTTCGGAGTTGAGTAAATACATATGTATAAATCTCTTTAGCAATGTTCCCAAAAAGTGCGATGTTATATCAAAATGCGATGAACTGAATAAACGAGTAAACGAGATACTCTCTCGTAAAACACGCAAAATGATCGGTATACAGAATTGAATGATAAGTATATAGAATTGCCCATTGTCTATCATAAGCTGAACCTACAAAAAATCACCTCTTGGAGTTGTTTTTGAGAAATGATCGGCTCTTAGCTATCTCGCTAATGGGCTTATCAGTAAATCTAATTATGTTATATGCTAATCCACCAGCAATGGTTCCAATTACTGGGCCAATTATATAAACCCATAGGCCTCTGTACTCATGCTTTACGATTGCTGGGCCTATGCTCCTTGCTGGGTTCATTGATGCTCCAGATATTGGCCTGCGCTCAATATTTAAACAAAATACAGTTTCTCAGTAAAATCACAATACTGAAAATAGATAATACATATATATAATAATATAAAAAAAGGAACTGTGACAGTTCCGTTATGGAACAATTCCGTCGGGATTTGTAACAGTTATATTATTATGTAACCGTCCTGGATAATTGATCTAAATGTTACAAATCCCGACGGAATGATTCCTTAACGGGACCGTAGAATCTCCCTTATAAAAAAATGATACTATGAGGAAAAAAAATACCCGGCCACGAAGACATTTAGCATTATGGTCATTCCAACAGCAAGTCCTCCCAGCTCCCCAATCTGAAATTTCAAATAATACCAAAAAAAAAAAAAAAAAAATGATATGCATTTCAATTATATTAAATTTCAATCTTTTAATCATATATATATTGTTCCATATAAGGTTAATGCATTATAAAAATCCAATTACTCGACGTACCGCACGGCTATCAGTAGCGACTCCAGATATGACGAACATCAAGAGGAAAGAGATTATGATCTCTATAGCAAGAGATTGTGCGTTAGACCCGACGGGCAGCGTGCCAAAGTAATCATCTTTCGTGACGTCGAACAACGAAGCTAAAGTGAAGCTTGCAAGAAGTGATCCCACCAGTTGAGCTACAATGTACATTGGAAGCTGCATAGACACAACAAGGCTTAAGGGTTATAATGCATATATATATATATATATATATATATATATATATATATATATATAAGATTAAATAATTTGCATAATGCTGAAAAACTACACCTGCTTCCAAGGAAAGCGGCGAAAAATGGCGAATGTGATGGTGACGGCCGGGTTGAAGTGGGCCCCAGAGACGTGGCCCACTGTGTAGACCATCACCATCACGATCGAACCCCACACGACGCAGATGCCCGGGAATGTGATGGTCCCTCCGTAGATCTTGTTGATGGCCACCGAGCCACATCCAGCGAATATCACGAAATATGTTCCGATCAACTCGGCTACCACCTGGAGTTCGAAATTTTCGTCAAGTATCAACATATTTACCATGTTACAGTTTCATTTCAAGTGATTTATAATCAAAAGGTCCTCTGATTCAGAAAAAAAAAAAAAATGTTCATTCCTAATGTGAAATACACTTCAAAAATATTTAATGCACTTATTATATAATTTTCCAGTATAATAAAAAATATTTATTATACTTATTATACAAATTGAGAAAAAATACAACCATTGAACAAAAAGTCTAATACATCTCAAGAATACTTATAATATTTTAATTACTTTTAAATATTGTTAACTAAGTTGTATTAAAATATTTTACCATATATAGCCACATTTCATGTGACTTTACACAATCCATATATGTAAAGATATATTACCATCGGTACCGCTATAGCCCCCTCCAATATCTACTCCATAATCCACTCCCTGACGTGTTTTCTTTTTATTTTGTACAAAAAAAAACAAATAAGTCATGTTATAAGTCTTTATTCTTACAGTAAAAAAAAAAGTCTTTATTCTTTATCTCTTAAAAAGTTAAATTATATCTTATTGAAAGTTTTAAACCTTTTGTATCTCTCAGCCCTTTTTCATTCCCGTATTCTAATTCAACCTGCTCTCCTCCCAGATGTTGGTCTTCTGGAAGTGAGAACACTGCTTCCCAACAACTAACCTAGCCCTTTTGATAATTATCATGACATCTAATAGGAATATTCCAAATGAAATGTAGGGAGCATCCAAGAAAAAATTGAGCGCTAAATCTCAATTTATACCAAAAAAAAAAAAGAACACAAATAGACCCTCAAGGTCGCCACACGATGCTCGGACCACTATTTTTGGAGCGGTAGAAATTTGAGAACGCGGAGTTCGAATCTCGTCCAATCAGTGACCTCAGCCTTGGGGCCAGCCCGGGTCGGTGCCTGGATGTCGCCCGCAATCGACCATCTTGACGTCATGGACTCAGACAGGATCGAGGCTCGCGTACCTGCACAGAAGACCGGCAAGAACAGAAGCCCAGACGAAGAGGCCCGTTCATTGCTGACCTGGTTGCCTACGGGCGGCTGTTCATTGCAGATCCGGATTTGGTCGAGCGGTTGAAGTTGGTTCTTGAAATAAGATCAAAAATAAGAGAAGACATATATCCTAGGTCAAGAAATTTGGGGAATAACGTGAGTGAGAAAAAAATGGGGAAGAAGGTGATCGAAAAAAAAGAAGATGAGAGAGAGGATTAGACAAAACTTTAATAAGTCTTTTTTTTTTCTTTGGCCAAATAAAAAGGAAAGGAAAATTAGTCTGACAGTCTGGCACATCAAAAGACACGTAAGGGAGTGCTTAATGCGGTGGAAAACCGACGGGAGAAGGAGCATTATTGTATTACCATAACCACATTTCATGTGACTTTATACATTCTATATAAAGGATAAATATTTTATTGAAAGAGTAATTGACAAATTTTATTTTAAATTATTTATTAGGATCATTTTTTAAAATTTTATTAAATGTTAAAGAAAATATAATATCATTCTTCCCTAATAATATGTTACTGTTTTTAAATAAATTTTAAGAGATAAATATAAATAATATACAATTATTTCACAAGTTTTGAATTTTTTTATTGCAAATTACAATTTTAAGTTTTGAACTTTTCGCTCAAATTATTGTTTTTTTTTTTTTTTTACATTTACTCTACAATATTGCTAATTAATAAATGATGAATGAGATGCAAAAGAAATTGTACAAAAAATTTTAAAACTTTATTAGGCTATAAATAAGTGTGAACACATGTCGATTTTTACATAATATAATGCCTATATATCTTAAACTTTTATTCTATAATGCTTAAAATTGAAATATTTTTTGTGTTATTTGTATAAATATATAGATTTTTTAATTTATGATTTCTCAAAATAACAATTAATAAGTAAAAGAACTATTAAATATTATTTCTAATAAAACAGACCATACAAAAAAAAAGTTAAACTAGAGTGAGTTCATTATTTCATAGCGTTAGAAAGGGCATATAAAATTGTCACTCTGTACTAATTTAAAGAGATGTAGACGGATTAGTACTATTGTAAACATGTTTGCTTTTCCTTTTTTAATAAATTGGATCATGACACATAGGAAATTCACCCTGCCTAAAAATATACATTCTCCAATGCAAGAACAAGTGGACCGGTTCTGCTAATGTGACAACAAGAAAAAATGACTCGGTTTAACCTGAATTGTCTAACTTGTAATTGGGTGCACAGAAAATAAATAAATAAATAAATAAAACTATGCAAATCATGGATTAAACATATTTAGATGTTTATGCAAATTCAACTCAGTATAAAAAAAAAAAAAA